AGTTGTGGACTCAAAGTTCCTGCCTTTTTAGATCTGGCAGCGCACAATCATTTTCACTGAAAAAGGGCTGTTTGGAAAACCAGAGACTCCATGGACCGATTTACTGCTCTATGAGCCTCACTGCTCTTTGGCTTTTTTTCCCTTGCATTTTCTGCTGCTCTATAGCTTTAATTTTCTTGGAGGCATAATGAGACGAGGAATGGACAGTTCAAAACTAACTGAGGTTTGCACAGCCCTGCTGATGGGCGAGAGTAGTTTACAAATGCCCTTCTATAGTTTAACGTTACAACTGTCTTCACATCCTAGAATTCTTTGTATCTGCTCATTCTTTCATAGATCTATGGTTCATGGTGTATGAATAATGCTGTTCATAAGACCAGAGAAGTTTTAGCCTACAGGCTTTATCTGATTGGCCAAGTTGTCCTACCTGGCCACAAATTCAGGAAAGTTCTTCCTTCACTTTTGAAGTCCCTTCACTTCCTTTTATCCCAAAGACAAATGAAAAGTCCTAATTTTGATTGGCTGGCCAGAGAATATAGCTTTTTCCCTCCCTCACAAAACTGACTCCAGGAGTACCATAAAAAACCAGTCCATGGTCCTAGATCAAATGCCCCTGACTGCCTTTTTGAGGATTGACGAACTAAACTCATGTACTTTTGTGGTGGGCTAGACTAGAATACGTGTCTCCACTTGGCGTGGTTAAGAAATAGGAACATAGAATATAGAGCATAGTTGGAAGGGGCCTGAGGTCTTCTAGTCCAACCTCTTGCTTCAACAAGAGACCCTCTATCATTTTAGACACATGGTTGTCCAGTCTCTTTTTGAAAGCTTCCAGTAATGGATGGAACACAAATGCCAACAGGCTAACTGGGAGGAAAGAGATCTCTGGAAATTGCTTGGAAGAACTGCAGCTTATCAGCAGAGAAAGCGAGATGGCAATCAAGGCTCAGGCCTGGCTTGATGGCATCTAACTGCTGTGATTAATAGAGGCTCCAGGGTCCGGTTGAGGTCTTTCTGGGCCTTGCTGCTTTTTACGGAAGTCATGCTAGAGTTCTTCTGAATGCAAGGCATGTGCTGTATCCAAGCTCTAGCGCTGCCTTAGCTCAATGTTTCATACTCAAGACTAGTCATATGTACCTTTAGACAAAGGTCTCTCACGATCTTTATTGTATTTATATTCTCAGGCCTGCATTTGTAAGATTGACGCATGGCAATTAGCTCATCCATTCAGAGAGGAAAGCTGAACCCCAAGCGAGTAAAACATCAATTTAACGTTATGTTTTTCACTCCAGATGGAATAAATATACCCCTGGCAAATGCAGAACATTTAAAAAAAATACAAAACCCTTTGATATATATATCCAGTGGCAACAAACTGTAATACATTCCTGCTGGGAAGTGCTGGGAGCTGTAATTTCAAGGTATCTAAAGGACATCCGGTTCGGGATGGTTGCTAGAATGCTATCATGACCTACAGGCACATTTCTAAATAACATCCGAGAGCAGGAATCGGTCTGTTTCAAGATACACCATATCATGGGCTACAACAACTGCACCAAAAACTTTATAGATGGCTCATATTTTTTCCAGCATATTTAAATTTCATTAGATATAATCAAAAACTTGGAACTCTATAAAAAGCAATGTGTGAGTAGGGCCATACCCGAGACAGACCTGGAACATACTGAGATCTCAATGTCAGGTCAATATCAGAAAATCTATTTCATTTACAATATTTATATGCCTCCTGATAATGAGACTTTTTAGATCAGTTGTGTCCAACTTTGGCAACTTAGACCACAGGTCTTAAAGTTGCCAAGGTTGGACACCCCTGCTTTAGATAGATAGTGAGAATAAAGTCAATAAAATAAACTCACCAAGTAATAACTGTGTATTGGGGTGAATTTTAGAAGTTTTAGAAGGAAAAACCACTCAGGAGGAGATAATTCCTCTAGTAAAAAGGCCAGCTGCAATCTGCTAAAAAAGAGCCTTTCTCCTCCAGTTGTGCCCCTGGGAAGATGCAACTAACACTGCTCTTGTGGTAATTTTCAAAGTGTGTGACCCTTACAACCAAGCCTTTCTGAGGGAAACAACTGAGATTTAAAAAAGAAAACACACTGAAGAATGTAGGGATTCACCTTGACCATATTGTAACATGGAGATCTCAGCCACTCAAATGTAGATGTGAAATTCTTCAGTCTGCCACTCTGCCGCCAGTGTGTCCCAAAAGTTGTTTTGCAGAAGTTCGTGGCCTCTTTTGTCCAAGAACAGGCAGGTCAGCTTGGCTGGTGAAATAAACAGGAGCAAAGGAAATGGTCCACCGGCAGGATCTCCAATCTCTCCTAATCATCCACTGCAATGCTCCAGATTAGATGGACAGTCAATCCTGATCTCTCTGGACTCCGAATCTGATTTGTACTGCACCTAGTAGCCCTGAAGGCATTATATGCCTGTACATCCATCAGCCCTCTATTTCAGGAGCATCAAGCAGGTTATACCCCTCACCAACAATTAAAGAATAGAGAAGCTAGAGATGCTGGACAACCTGGGTATTTTAGTAGGAATACTAGCAAACGAGGACAGTTTGATGGTACTTGGAATTGGCCAATCAAGTTTCCCAGGACTAAAAGCATCCAGTTTTACCATTCATTCATTAACTGTAAAGAGATAGAACATCCAGTCTTCTTCTGTCTAGAGCAGGGGTAGGCAACCTTGGCTCTTTTATGACTCGTGGACTTCAACTCCCAGAATTCCTGAGCCAGCATGGCTCAGCTTGGAAACTTTCCCTTTCCCCTCAGCATGGCTGGCTCAGGAATTCTGGGAGTTGAAGTCCACGAGTCATAAAAGAGCCAAAGTTGCCTACCCCTGGTCTAGAGGATGTCCATAATCTCCTGGGCTAAAAGCTAATACTTTGCCACAAGAAGCACACAGCGTTGAGAATATGGGTTGCCACCGCAGGCTACCTCTGAGCTTTTTCTCAAGCCCTATGTCTTCCCTGCCTGGAAAACCGTTGAATGGGAGATCTGTTATTCAGCTTGGGCATGAGCTCCCATTTCCATACACCAAGCAGGCCGGACATCCACCGTTGGGGTAACAGCATGCCTGCTACACCAGCTGCTAACCAGCCAGCTGGCCAATTAAAGACTAAGCACCTGCTGGTGCCAGCAGCCAAAAGACCTTAGATTTGGGGGACAGAGGCTCCTCTGTCTTTCTGTCCCCCCCAATCTCTATTTCCTCTTTTTTTTCTCCAAGTCACCCTCTGCCTCAGCTGCTTATGCACTAAGAAGAGCCATGTCAGCCTTCAAGGGGAGGGAAAAGAAAAATAACCCTTGAATACCTATTTAGGCTGAAATGAAAGAATTACTGCCTGCCAATGAGACAGCACCTTCCGCATATACAAGAGGCAACCTTTTCATGCCGGCTTGAGAATAGGAATGGGCAGTCTAAGAGCCTGCAATAATTATACTCTGAATTAGAATGGCTGGCATCTAAATAACTCTCTGTAGTATGTGTGTCTGGGTGCATTTGAAGATCCAGAGGGATGCCATATTCTTTATGTGACCTGGGGTCCAACCAGGTGGACTGGGCTTTAAGCCTAGAGACATACATGTTCTCTGCTGGGGAAGCGGCATTCCCAAAATTTTTATAATGTCTCAAGGGCAAAGGAAGGAAGCTCTGCATGAGCTGGAGAATATTGTTTGGTGGCAGATGAACAAGTTTATCATAATGCCCTTCTGGTCATTGTTTTCTTAATTATTACTCTGGTTTTCCTTCTTCCGAAATCTCAGATGTGCAGCTAGATGTTATAGAAAGCGAGGGGGATGTGTGTCAAAGATGCTTTGATTGAGTGCTGTTACTGAAGTAAAGTCTCCTTAAAATATATGATGCGCTCTCTCACACACACAGGCAGGCACTTCTGAGTCAGGACAGAAGCTCTCGGAGAAACCCCTCCACCGCTTCCTCACAATGGAAAGACATCGGGATGAAAATGTACTTATGTATTTCTTTCTTTCCATATGACCTTAGGCTGAGAACAGAGGCCAAGGCTCAGAACATAACTCTTTTCTATTCGTGGATCCCTCCGACTCTCTCCCAACATTTCTTCTGCCAGTTAACACCAAGCAGGGTTATGCGAAATATCCTATATATATATATATATAATATATATATATATATATATATATATATATATATATTATATATATATATATATATATAATATATATATATATATATATATGTTGTTCAGGTTTTCTCCCGCGTAAAATTGGAAGTGTCTTGGTGACGTTTTGACATACACTCGCGAAAACCTCAGAAAACACACACACACACACATATATGATATATATATATATATATATATATATATATATATATATATATATATATATGACTATATATATATGGTCATTTTGTGGCACGGGTAAACTTTGACACCCCACCCCCACCCTTTTGAGATCACATGTTCAGAACCAACCCAGCTACCTCCCAATTCTCCTATGCAAAAAATCTCCTATGCTGCACCCCACATTTTAAGAACACCCCGCCCCCCATTTTCTTTCTCTCTCTCTCTCTCTCTCCCCCCCCCACCCATGCCTCTTATTAAAATGGTAGAGAGGGTTCTTTCCTTAATCCTACTCCCCCCACCACCACCTCCCTCAGAACGGCCTGGAAGAAGATGGCAACACCTTCTCCCACCAGGGCTGCGGTTAAGGGTGGGATTGGTAAAACTCGGCACCCCGCCCCTTTCCCAGGCTCCTTGGGCAGGGCACGTGCAACTCACCCCCGCCGGTGCTGGCGGCCCCCCCTCCCCAATCAAGTGCAGAGTCAACTTTCTGCATTTGTCCCCCCCCCCCCTTCCTGTCAGGGCTCATTGCATCTTGGGTTGCTGCTCCGAGAACCTGCTGCTCATCCTTCTTCTCCCGCTCAGCTCTTTCGCGCTCCGCTCCCCACCCCGAGGATTGCCTGCTTTTCTGTCTCTCTCTCTCTTTTTTGGGGGGGAGGGGGGGCTCTTTCTTAAGGAGCAGCACTCGGCCTCCCCACATCTTTCCCTCCAACCTCTCTCCTTCTCTTTCTCCCTCTGGCTCTCTCCAGTTTTTCTCCTCTCCTCCTCCCCGCTCTCAATGCTGGTGAAAGATCTCTCCCTCGAAACATGAAGGTCCTCAGCTGGGTACGGCTCGCCCTCAGCCAGTGGCTTGTGCGAGAGGTAAGGCGCGCGGGGAGGTCGACCGGCGGGCGGGAGGACGACCGGCAGACGCGGGGAAAGCGCCGGGCGAGAGGGGAAGTTGGCATGGCCGGGGACGGCAGGCTCGCACCGGACCAAACTTGGTTCCGGAGGGCGGGAGGAAGAGGGAGCGGGGCGTCGAGAAGCCGGCAGCGCCCGGTTCGATGGGAAACTGGCTCCCGCGAGGTGGATCGGGAGGGCGCGTTTGTCGGGAGCTTTCCCCGACGACTCTTTTCCTAACTTTGACTCGACTCTGGGCTGTTAAAAGAAGCGAACGGAGGACACTCGACGCGTGTCTCCAAAGTTCGCGCTTGACGCTGGTGGCTGGGGGAGCGGCTGGAACCCGGGGGGGGGGGAGACTCGCCGTGGCGGGACAAACCGAGTTGGATGGAGGGGGGGGGGAAGCGTGGAAGAGTCCTGTTTCCTTCTCGCGGGGGGGGGGACACAAATCGGCGAGGCAGCCAGCAAGTCGCCTGCTTCACCGCCACGATCAAAATGGGGCGGAGGGCCGCGATTGCCGAGGTGATAAAGAAACAAAAAACAAAAACCAACCACCTTCTGGCGGGCGACGACGACCTGTCTGGCGACTCGCGAGACGTGAATCGCGTAAAAGACAGCCTGGCCTGCCAATTCGGGTTTAATCTTCGCCTGCAGAGCGGCTTGGCGTGGGCAGATTGAGGTGGAAGCCCGGGACGAGACGCGCGCTCTCCCCTCGCGCCTCTTTGGCCGAAAGCAAAACACCCGCTCGGTCCCCTTCGAGCAGCTGATCGGGCCAGCCGAGGCAGGCAGGGCGACTTTTGCCCGTGTTCGTGCCCGGGACTTCTGAGTGGAGGGTCGGAATAGGATATAGCGTTACTTTTCGGGCTCCGCGGGTCCAGCTGTTGAAGCTCGGCTGCGCCGTCACGTACTACTGGTTGTGTGTACAAACGCAGGCACGTGGCCGTGCACTTCCCGCTAGCTGTTGTGGGGCCGGGTTGATCCGTGCTTTATTGTAACGGTGTGCGGTGTCGATACGTGGGAATGACATTTTTGGAGGTACTGTGGCTCGTTAATAGACAACGCGGTGGAGAGACCACGCAAGCTAATAGCGGGGAGCCGTGTGTGTTGTCTACTTGTACTTGTGAGCCCGCCCACAGAAATTCCAATCGATGTATATATTCTTGGGAAGGGTTCCGTGGAAGTGCTACACATCCAGCTATATGTGTAGGGAAGATTTCCTAGGCTGTATGGAACGGATCATTTGTAAGGCCAGATCCCCACCGCAATCCAAGACGTTTTTGTTTAAATTCCAGATCATCACTTTTTTCAGAGCACAGCTTCGGGAGTAAGAAGGGGTACGGCTTTTTTCCGAGGCCCTTTTCCTGGCCTTTCCCCAACCTTCGCAGATGCTAATGGCTATTCCTGGCATCCAAATTAAACAGAGTAATTTTAAGGCAAAGCGTTGACCTTTTGTACCTGTTTTCACTAATTGTGAATTTAGTTCTATCAGTGTAAATACGGTCTTCAGGTGTGGAGAAGCCTTTGATCCATTGTTGAGTCTCCCCCAGGAGATTTTCCAGGCCAGCTTCCCTAGATTTCTGTAGGGAAGAATTTTGGCTAGGCAGACACAATGAAAACGGGGTGGGGGTGGGGGTGGGGGGTGGTGGGGTGGTGGTCCAAGGAGCTGGCTTCGTAAACCTCTTGCTGGCACAAAACCTGCCTGCCCCCCTCCTGATCTTATGGGCCACTTGCACCCATCTTCTGAAACAATATGGCTGGAAAAGGAGATGCACCCCCCCCCAAAACCCAATCATTTCCTTTATAACACACACCAGGGGCAATTGTGCTGCTGCAGACAATGTTTCCAGATTAGTTTGCTTATAAGACAGCACACTAAGTGTATTATAAATAGGTTAGCCTGGATTTTTTTTTTTTGTTGTTGTTAAACCAAGGATATACTTGTCCCGCTAACTATTAACCTGGAAGTTTGTGCCTCCAATTTATCTACTTAAGCTGAATAAAGAAGCATTTAATGCAAGTGATATTAAATAATTGCAGAGGCCTTTTTACCCAGACATTTCATCTTTTTCTGCTACTATCCCCTTAGGCTTTGAATGTTTTTCTTCCTTCTACCAAATCAGGTGCCATGTTTTAAAAAAAGTCTTTTCTTTTTTTCTTTCTTTTCTTTTCTTTTTTTTAAAAAAGCAAGCTCTGTCTGGTGGCTTTTTTCTGGTGGCTTGGAACTTTATAACTTCCTTATTTCTTCTTAGAACAAACAGTAGCTCCCAGAAAGGATCATAAAATTTTGATTCTTCTCTGCCTGCTGCATCCATAGCTGCCTGTGTGCAAAATAATTCTTTCACAGGTAAATGGCATTGCCATTTTTAGTGCTTGCAAATCAGGAGTCGAAGTGCCTCAGCTTCATTTTTAATTTTTCTCTCTGTGTGTCTTATTTTTCTTTTTACGGCATTATAATGTTGCAGGGAGAAATAAGGAATGGGCTCATTAAGCACTGGGCCGGTGAGAATCAGATTTCATAACAATCAATTTTTACTTTTCAACAATTTCATGAAGGCTGATCTGCTCCCCCACCTCCTCCTCTCAAGGCATTGCATTCAGACCTCCAGGAGGAAAGAGATCTAACTAGGTGAGGTTCTTTGGCTTATCCTGTTCTTTAAGGCAGGAAGAGGAAAGGAGAAAATTCTTTGGAGGTTACCTCCAGCCTTTTTCATCAGCAAAAGAGGCTGCTTTTAAGATGGCAAAAACCTTTGTTTTAAACAGATAATCAGTGATATATATTTTTTTTGCAGGGGGAGGGGAGTGGGAAAGGTGATAAAAGAAACTAGATTTGTGTTGGGTTTGAAAAAGAGATGTAGCTGCTAATGCAGAGGTTTAGTATTTATTTAGTTGTGTTAGGATTTATTTATTTATTTATACCTTGCATTAAAAAAGAGCATCTAGGGAAAGCATAAATGAGATGCTTTTCAAACCACCTAGTGTGTATCTGTGTAAAAACACACTATGAGCGCAGACATCCTCTCCCCCTTTCCCCTCCTTCCCATGTACATCTAATTAAATTGGAAAATGGCTGGCAACTGGTTTTTGTTTTAAACCAAGTTAAGAAATGTGAAAGCCCTGCCAGGTATTAAAACATTACTGGATATGCTTGGTCTGCAAGACCTTTCTTAGTTGTAATCCTCAATCTAGGCTGCTTTATATTTTGATTTTTTTATTCAGACATTGTTTATTTCCTTTCTAGCTGCTACATTCTAAACCTCTGTATTTTTCCTGTCTTCCATACTTTTTTGGGGGAACAAATAAGTGTTCCCTATCCACAGTCCTCCATGATGGTCTAGACTCTAGACCTAAGAAAAACAAGATGCTTTTATCTCAGGATACAGTTGCTGTTCAAACCCACTGGAACCCCATCTAACAACAAAGAAGGAAGAATATAAACTCAATCTCACATTGTAGAATCTAAAATACAATGTGATCATGTGGAATCCAGTAGTTTCCACTCCATGCTCACAATCTAATCATGTTGACATCTCCTTTCAGTCCATGCAAGAAAAAGGTCAGCTTTTTAGTCTTCAGAAGGTAGAATCCATCCTTAAAACACTATATTAGCATCTAGTGATTTCCTGTTAGTTAATAATTGTTGCTATTGATTTTCATTAAGCACAGAATTTCAAGTAACCACTTTTTTTACAAAAAGTCTAGAACAGCATTCATGGGAGGTGATGTCTTTCCTTTAAGGCACATGAGATCATAACCAAACGCATTCCAGTGAATTCAGAATTTGGGTTCTGGTGTCTGGATGTCTCCCTTCCTATTCAGTTCAAAATTTACAATTACTTTTATGTAGAATTTGATCTGGATTTTGTTTAGTTTAGATTACCTAAATTTAGATTACCTACGAACGAGTCAGAATCAGTTTCATGCATTATAAATCTAGGAGGCTAACTTGTATTAGATTGGACTATATGGGCCACCATGGCGTGTCAGAATGACAGCTTTTTCCATATCATTGCTACATTTTTTTAAACAAAAACGAGAGACACCAGCTTAGAATCTTTGGCATGCAAAGTGTGATATCTACTATTGATCAGTAGTCACTCTGCTGGCTATATCTGTTGACTAATATAAAAGATAGGCCTTACTTTTTATTCCAGTGATGAACAAAGGCTAAATTTCATTAGTGATATTGCCCAAAAGGGATCATTTGCAAAAATTCAGATGACTTTCTAGGATTTATCCTCAGTCTCAAATAAGCCCCATAAGAGTGCCTTGTTACAAGCATCCTACTCTTTACCTGGCATAAAAGAGTATGGCTGAGAGGCTGTCTTTTACAGCCAGGGCAGATGGGTGCTAAGGGCAGTTACTAACAAGCGGATGTCCATCCACTTTCCAAAGAGGGCAGCATCTTAGTGCAGGCGCTACAAGGTGATTCTGCTTGAAGTATTCTGAGCCCAGGGTCCTATTGCCACCATGATCGGCCTTCAAGCTGAGATAAAATTGGTAGACCAACTGGCCATCATACACTGAATATAGGGAGTCAGGCAGTTTTAAAATATGAAATATAAATAAATAAAAATAAAACGGGGGCATCTTCTGCTAATAAAATCTACAGGATTGGGTGCAATTTGTTCAGGTGAGGTTTACCTTATACCCAATTTGTTACTTATGGTACTTACTCAGGGAACCAACTTTTGGAAATTTTCTAGCTATACTTATGCCCGCTGGTAGTTTAAAGAATGGGGCTGCCTTACTTCTCTTGTGGTTTTGCATCTTCAATTATTTTTTTTTAACTTACCTTGATTTTGAGCAGATACTGTCAACAGATGTTTGCAGATTATGAGAAGCCGATCCAGAGCTTGTGGCTAATAAAATAAAATTAAAACACCCCAAACACTGCAAGGAGAAAGAAGCGTGCAGTTTTGCTTAGAATGCATACTTTGTAGGTGTAGTGGAGACTACCCAATTTTGAATTTACTTACCCAGTC